CACTTGAGGTCAGGAGTTTGAGATCAGCCTGACCAACATGGTGAAATGCTTTTCTACTAACAATGCAAAAATCAGCCAGGCGTGCTGGTATGAGCCTGTCATCCCTGCTACTTAGGAGGCAGGATAATTGTTTGAACCCAGGATGTAGAGGTTACACTGAGCTGAGATCACACTACTGGACTCCAGCCTGGGCAACAGAGCAAAACTCCATCTCAAAAAATATATAATAAAATAATTAAAAACAAATAAATAAAAATAAATATTAGTCTGTAGTTTTTTTTGTTTGTTTGTTTGTTTGTTTTGTAGTGGCTGTTTGGTTTTGGTGTCAGGGTAATGCTGGCCTCAAAGAATAAGCTTCAAAAGGGTTGAATCATTTTTATCACCATTTAAACCTTTATCACATTTCCTCGTCAGTACTCCACTCTAACCACACAGAGTCTTTGCTGTTCCCAGTGCCAAAAGTGTTCTCCAGATATCCAGATGGCTCACTCACTTCCTCCAGGCCTTTACTCAAAGGCCACCTCATTGAGGCCATCCTGTTTATTTATTTATTGAGACAGAGTCTAGCTCTGTCACCCAGGCTGAAGTGCAGTGGTGTAATCTCAGCTCACTGCAGCCTCCACTTCCCAAGTTCAAGCAATTCTCCTGCCTCAACCTCCTGAGTAGCTGAGATTACAGGCACGCACCACATCTAGCTAGTTTTTGTATTTTTAGTACAGACTGGGTTTTACCATGCTGGTCAGACTGGTCTGGAACTCCTGACCTCAGGTGATCCACCCTCCTCGGCCTCCCAAAGTGCTGGGATTACAGGCGTTAGCCACTGTGCCCAGCCCCATCTTTTTTTTTTTTTTTTTTTGAGACAGGGCCTCACTCTGTCACCCAGGCTTGAGTGCAGTGACGCAATCTCGGTGTACTGCAACCTCGGCTTCCTGGGTTCAAGCAATTTTCATGCCTCAGCCTCCCGAGTAGCTGGGAGTACAGGCACACATCATCACACCTGGTTATTTTTTTTATATTTTCAGTAGAGACAAGGTTCTACCATGTTGGCCAGGCTGCGCATCTCCCATCTTGACTCAAAGTCTCCCTCCAGCTTTTGCTTCACATCTTCGAACCACTGATTGACTGATTTATTTGAGACAGGGTCTCAATCACTCTGTCATCCAGGCTGGAGCACAGTGTTATGATCATGGCTCACTGCAGCCTCAAACTCCTGCTCAAATCCACTGTCTCAGCCTCCCAAGTAGCTGAGGCTACCTGTATACATCACCATGCCCAGCTAAGTTGTTCAATTTTTTGTAGAAACTTGGTTTCACCATGTTGCCCACGCTGGTCTTGAACTCTTGGCCTCAAGCAATATTCCCACCTCGGCATCTCAAAGTGCTGGAATTACAGGAATGAGCCACCACATTGGACCTTGGCACTCTTTATAGTAAAGCTTCTCCCACGAGATGTCTACACACTATGGCCACTTCCTGATTCTTCAACTTGGCTGCTGCCCCACTTTGTAAAGACCCCTTGTGCACAACTGTAGTCCTAGCTAACTGGGAGACTGAGGCAGAAGGATGTTTTGTTTTGAGACATGGTCTCATTCAGTCACCCAGGCTGGAGTGCAGTGGCACGATCTTGGCTCACTGCAACCTCCACCTCCTGGGTTCAAGTGATTCTCTTGCCTCAGCCTCCCAAGTAGCTGGGACTACAGGTGTGCGTCACCATACCCAGCTCACTTTTGTATGCTCTAGTGATTGTTAAACTTTGTTCATATTAGAATCATCTAGGGAGCTTTTAAAAATCCCCATGCTGGCTGAGTATGGTGGCTCACGCCTGTAATCCCAGCACTTTGGGAGGCCAAGATGGGTGGAACACCTGAGGTCAGGAGTTCGAAACCAGCCTGGCCAACGTTGTAAAACCCCATCTCTACTAAAAATACAAAAATTAGCTGGGCATTGGCCGGGCGCAGTGGCTCACGCCTGTAATCCCAGCACTTTGGGAGGCCGAGGCGGGTGGATCACGAGGTCAAGAGATCGAGACCATCCTGGTCAACATGGTGAAACCCCGTCTCTACTAAAACTACAAAAAATTAGCTGGGCATGGTGGCGTGTGCCTGTAGTCCCAGGTACTCAGGAGGCTGAGGCAGGAGAATTGCCTGAACCCAGGAGGCGGAGGTTGCGGTGAGCCGAGATCGCGCCATTGCACTCCAGCCTGGGTAACAAGAGCGAAACTCCGTCTCAAAAAAAAAAAAAAAAAAATTAGCTGGGCATAGTGGCAGGCGCCTGTAATCCCAGCTACTCAGGAGAGTGAGGCAGGAGCCTCCCAAAGTGCTGGGATTACAGGCATGAGCCACCGTGCCCGGCCCAAATCTGCATTTTAACAAGAGTCCCTGCTATCTCCTATGAGTGTCAAACTTTGAGAAGTATTGATCTGTGTGGGGATGGCTCCCCAGTGTTAATCTCAATCACTGGGCCCCAGCCTCTACACCTAACTGCCACTTTGGCATATACCCAGCCATCTCAAACATAATTTGCTCCAAACTGATATCCTTGCTTCAACTTGATCCTCTGCATCCTAGCCAATCGCACCATTACTACTAGCCATTCAAGCTACAAACCTGTGAGTCACTTCTGAGTCCACTATGTTCCTCACTCTCCCATTCAACCCATCAACTAGTCTAGGTAACTACTTCCAAATCCATCCCAAATGCACCACCTCTTTCTATCTGACCCCACCACCTCAATATATGACTTGGATACCTACCAAGCCTCCCACTTCTGCCCTTCCTGCCTCCAGTCAGTTCTCTCCACTATGGCCAGAGGAAGCTTTTTTTTTTTTTTTTTTTTTTGGAGAAAGAGTCTCGCTATTGCCCAGGCTGGAGTGAAGTGGCATGATCTTGGCTCACTGCAACCTCCACCTCTCCCGTTCAAGTGATTCTCATGCCTCAGCCTCCTGACTAGCTGGGACTACAGGTACTACCACAGCCAGCTAATTTTTTGCATTTTAGTAGAAATGGGGTTTCACCATGTTGCCCAGGGTGGTCTCAAACTCCTGAGCTCTAACAGTCCACCCATCTTGGCCTCCCAAAGTGCTAGAATTACAGGCATAAGCCACATCACCCAGCCAGAGGGAGCTCTTAAACTAAAATTAGTGATTTCACACTTAAAATCAGGGACTGGGCGCACTGGCTCATGCCTGTAATCCCAGCACTTTGGGAGGCCAAGGCAGGTGAATCACGAAGCGAGGAGTTCAAGACCAGCCTGTCCAACATGGTGAAACCCCGTCTATACTAAAAATACAAAAATTAGCCAGGCATGATGGTGGCAGGCATCTGTAATCCCAAACTGAGGCAGGAGAGTCACTTGAACCCAGGACGTGGAGGTTGCAGTATGCCAAGACTGCACCACTGCACTCCAGCCCCGGGCAACAGAGTGAGACTCTATCTCAAAAATAAATAGGCCAGGAACAGTGGCTTACGCCCATAATCCCAGTGCTTTGGAAGGCCAAGTAGAGAGGATCACTTGGGCCCAGGAGTTCAAGACCAGCCTGGGCAACATAGCAGGACATGATCTTTACAAAAATTGTTTTAAAAAATTAGCTGGACCTGGTGGTGTGCACCTGTAGTCCCACCTATTTAGAAAGCTGAGGCAGGAGAATCACTTAAGCCATGGAGTTCAAGGCTGCAGTGAATTATGATTGCACAAGTGTACTCCAGGTTTGGGGAGGAAGTGAGATCCTGTCTCTAAAAAATAAAAATAAATAAATAAAATCAGACAGGTGTACCCCTCCAAACTCAACTCCTACCACTGGCAGCTTCAGCTACCCTGTCTCTGAAAGAAACTAAGTTTATACCATCTCAGAACCTTTGCACTTGCTTTTCTCTCTGTCTAGAGCTTTTTTTCTCCCACAGCTGTCTGTAGTAATTTCAGTGAAAGGTCTTCTTTGACCCTCATCACCCTATTAATGCATTTTTTTTTTTTTTTTTCCTGAGACAGGGTCCTGCTCTGTCGCCCAGGCTCGAGTGCAGTGGCACAATCACGGCTCACTACAGCCTCGACCTCCTAGGCTCAAGCAGTCCTCCCACCTCAGCTTCCCGAGTAGCTAGGACTACAGGCAAGCACCACTACGCCCGGGTAATTTTTTGATTTTTCATAGAGAACAGAGTCTTGCTATGTTGCCAAGGCTAGTCTGGAACTCCTGGACTCAAGCGATCTTCCCGACTGGATTAATGTATTTTCAGCAACGATCAGTATCTAAAATCACCTGTTTCTTTTATTTCTAATTTGTTCAAAGTCTGGTTCCCCTAAGAGATGACAGATTTTTATCTATCTTCCTCATTGCTGTGTGTCCAGCACCCATAACAGTGCCTGGTATATGGTAGGTGCCTAACAAGTATCAACCGAACGGAAACAGCTCAAGTTCAACAAAACACCTATAAATCTGAACCCCAAGGTAGGGTGTAGGTACAGCAGCTCTGACGCTGGCTGCCAGGATTCTGCATCTCTTGGGGGAAACAGGGAGACGTGGATTCCAATTCCTGCCAGGCTGCCGACTTGAGGCGTGACCTCAGGCGAGGACTTTAATCTGAGTCAGCTGTTTCATCTGCAAAATGGGAGACTGGGGGCGTGTGGCGGGTGGCCTTTCCCAGCGCGTCCCCACCTCGACTACGAAAGGTCACGGTGCCCTGGCCCTGCAGCTGGGTCCCTCCGGGACCGCCCTCTCGCTCTGCCGGGTCCTGAAGGGCTCGCCTGGAGCACAGCAATTCGCGTTCGCCTACCCGCTCGCAACCTACCTACTCACGCAGTCAGCCGCGGACTCCAGGCCGGATCTGTCTTCTTGCTGGGCGCCGCCATGTTGGCACAGAGAGCGTCCGGGTCAGGGGCCGCAAGGGAGGCAGCAAATCAAGAAAGGCGGTGTAATAGGTCCCGCCCACAACGCGAGAAGCGCCGATAGGAAGGCGAAAGGACCTTGGGCCAGGCCCCACCTCTAATGAGGTAAGACGCACTCCAGGCCTGGGAACCTTGAAATGGCCCCGGAGGCTGGACTTCGGATGTCTATGCATCCAGCCGGGCGGCTGAAATGAGAAAATGAACTATAGGGCCGGGCGTAGTGGCTCACGCCTGTAAAAGCACTTTGGAGGCCAAGGTGGGCCGATCACCTGAGGTCGGGAGTTCAAGACCAGCCTGACCAACATGGTGAAACCCCGTCTTTAAAAAAAAAAAAAAAAGCCTGGTGTGAGTCCGTCCTGGGCGGCTGTTCTTTTGAGCAGTTGTCGTTTATCTCCGTCCGCCTTCTCTTCCACCTAAGTGCGTGTCGCCACCCGATGGAAGATTCGATGGACATGGACATGAGCCCCCTGAGGCCCCAGAACTATCATTTCGGTTGTGAACTAAAGGCCGACAAAGATTATCACTTTAAGGTGGATAATGATGAAAATGAACACCAGTTATCTTTAAGAACGGTCAGTTTAGGAGCTGGTGCAAAGGATGAGTTGCACATTGTTGAAGCAGAGGCAATGAATTACGAAGGCAGTCCAATTAAAGTAACACTGGCAACTTTGAAAATGTCTGTACAGCCAACAGTTTCCCTTGGGGGCTTTGAAATAACACCACCAGTGGTCTTACGATTGAAGTGTGGTTCAGGGCCAGTGCATATCAGTGGACAGCACTTAGTAGCTGTGGAGGAAGATGCAGAGTCAGAAGATGAGGAGGAGGAGGATGTGAAACTCTTAAGTATGTCTGGAAAGCGGTCTGCCCCTGGAGGTGGTAGCAAGGTTCCACAGAAAAAAGTAAAACTTGCTGCCGATGAAGATGATGAAGATGATGATGATTATTATTATTATTTCGATGATAAGGAAACTGAAGAAAAAGTGCTAGTGAAGAAATCTATACACGATACTCCAGCCAAAAATGCACAAAAGTCAAATCAGAATGGAAAAGACTCAAAACCATCATCAACACCAAGATCAAAAGGACAAGAATCCTTCAAAAAGCAGGAAAAAACTCCTAAAACACCAAAAGGACCTAGTTCTGTAGAAGACATTAAAGCAAAAATGCAAGCAAGTATAGAAAAAGAGCATTGAACAGTCCTGGGCACTACTGGTAAATTAAGCCCAAAGATGGGGAGAAAGGAAAAGGAGAGACAAATATAGTCCATACTGAGTGTCATCAACAACCCACACTGAAGTCTTCTATTTAATCTCAATCCCCTTTTCTGATTTGCCACCCATGCCTCTTCAGGCTGGAAACAGTTTCACACTCTTGGTTCCCTAAAGCACTTTGTTCTGACTGCTGCAATTCAGTGAACCTTGCCTTTTGCTTTCTATTACTTGTGTGCATTTGCCTCATCTCTGACCATGTTTTAAATCCTTTGTATCTCCTTAGCTGCTCAATAAATATTTTAATGAATCAATTAAAAAAAAAAACAAAAAGAAAAAAGAAAGAAAATGAACTATTAAAGGTTAAAGGGGGGCGGCAAGGTGGCTCATGCCTGTAATCCCAACACTTTGGGAGGCCAGGAGTTCGAGACCAGCCTGGGCAACATAGCGAGACCCCTTATCTGCAAAAAATTTAAAAATTAACTAGGCATGATGGCGCCTGCTTGTAGTCCCAGGTATTCGGGAGGCTGAAGCGGGAGGATCACTTGAGCCCTGGAGGTTGAGCATACAGCAAGCCAGGATTGCACCACTGTGCTCCAGGGTGGGCAACAGAGTGAGACCCTGTTTCTAAAAATAGTAATAATAAATAAGGCCAGGCACTTTGGTTCACGCCTGTAATCCCAGCACTTTGGAAGGCCGAGGCAGGCGGGTCACCTGAGGTCAGGAGTTCAATACCAGCCTGACCAACGTGGTGAAACCCCATCTCTACTAAAAATACAAAGTTAGCAGCGTATGGTGCTGGGTGCCTGTAATCCCAGCTATATGGGAGGCTGAAGCAGGAGAATCGCTTGAACCTGGGAGATGGAGGTTGCAGTGAGCCAAGATCACGCCACTGCACTCCAACCTCGGAGACAGAGTGAAACTCTGTCTCAAAAAATAAAATAAATAAATAAATAATAAAAATTACCAGGGTGTGGTGGTGTGCTCCTGTGATCCCAGCTACTCTGGAGGCTGAAGCACAAGAATTACTTGAACCCAGGAAGTAAAGGTTGCAGTGAGCCGAGATTGTGCCACTGCACTCCAGCTTGGGCGACAGAGTGAGACTCTGTCTCAATAAATAAATACATAAATAAATAGGATGGCCTCAATGAGACGGCCTTTGAGTAAAGGCCTGGAGGAAGTGAGTCATCTGGATATCTGGGGAACCGTTTTGGCACTAGGAACAGCAAAGACTCTGTGTGTTAGAGTGGAGTAACTGAGGAAGAAATGTGATAAAACGAGATGAGATTGAGTAGTGGGGGCTCCTGGTCTCCCCCAGAAAGAGATAAGCACATACATAGGGGTATTGGCAATAGCAATGGCCCCAGGGAAGGAAGGTTATCTGCCCTCATAATCCCATTTCTGCAGTCCCTCAGCCTCTGTGGCAAAGCGAGGTGGCATGAGGGCTGGAATGCAAGAACCTACCCTTAAGATGCCTCAAGGACTCTGCGCCTCATCAGAACTCCTGTGATTGGGTGAGCTCAGAAGACCTGTAGCCAATCAGCTGCTTGGCTGGAGCACTTCTCCCTGGCAAGTTGACAGGCTCGTGGGGAGCGACTGGGAGCGCTACCGCCCTCTGCCAGACTCCTGAAACTACAAACAGGCAGTCCACTCTGCTTAGCTGAGGAGTGGGTAAGATGTTGGAATTGCTGACCTCTGCGGCCTTCAGAGTTCCTGGTGTTCTTCTCTTGAGGTGGTCATAGCTCTTGGTTTTTTTTTTTTTTAATTTATTCTCCTAGAACTAGTCTTCTTCTTCTTCTTATTATTATTATTATTATTATTATTTGGAGATGGAGTCTGACTCTGTCACCCAGGTTGGAGTGCAGTCGCGCAATCTCGGCTCACTGCAACTTCCGCCTCCCGGGTTCAAGCAATTCTGCTTCAGCCTCCCTAGTAGCTGGGATTACAGGCATGCACCACCACGCCTGGCTAATTTTTGTATTTTTAGTAGAGATGGAGTTTCATCGTGTTGCCCAACCTGGTCTCAAACTCTTGGGCTCGAGTGATCCTCCTGCTTCAGCCTCCCAAAGGGATGGGATTACAGGCATTCACCACCATCCCCAATCATTATTATTATTATTATTTTTCTGAGACAGAGTCTTGCTTTGTTGCCCAGGCTGGAGTGCAGTGGCACAATCTCAGCTCACTGCAACCTCTGTCTCCCGGGTTCAAGAGATTCTGCTGCCTCAGCCTCCTGAGTAGCTGGGATTACAGGCACACGCCACCATGCCCAACAAATTTTTATGTTCTTAGTAGAGGTGGGGTTTCACCATGTTGGCCAGGCTGGTCTCAAACTCTTGACCTCATGATCTGTCTGACTCCACCTCAGTGTTGGGATTACAGGCGTGAGCCTCCATGCCCAGCTATTATTATTATTTTAAAATAGAAACGGGGTCTCACTATGTTACCAAGGTTTGTCTCAAACTCTTGGGGTCCATCGATCCCCTGTCTTGGCCTTCTAAAGTGCTGGGATTACAAGCATGAGCTACCACACCAGGCCGGTAGCCTTTTTAAAAACAAATATGGCCGGGCGCGGTGGCTCACGCCTGTAATCCCAGCACTTTGGGAGGCCGAGGCGGGTGGATCACGAGGTCAAGGGATCGAGACCATCCTGGCCAACATGGTGAAACCCCATCTCTACTAAAAAAATTCAAAAGTTAGCTGGGCGTGGTGGCGCACGCCTGTAGTCCCAGCTACTCAGGAGGCTGAGGCAGGAGAATTGCTTGAATCCAGGAGGCGGAGGTTGCAGTGAGCCGAGATTATGCCACTGCACTCCAGCCTGGCGCCTGGCAACAGAGCAAGACTTTGTCTCAAAGAAAAAAGGGAAAAAAAACAAGTATGGGGCCGGCCACCGTGGCTCATGCCTATAATCCCAGCACTTTGGGAGGCCAAGGCAGGGGGATCACAAGGACAGGAGATTGAGACCATCCTGGCCAACATGGTGAAACCCCATCTCTACTAAAATTCAAAAAAAAATTAGCTGGGCATGGTGGCAGGCACCCATAATCCCAGCTACTTGGGAGACTGAGGCGGGGGAATTGAACCTGGGCAGCAGAGGTTGCAGTGAGCTGAGACTGTGCCACTGCACTGCAAATGGGTGACAGAGCAAGACTCCGTCTCAAAATAAAACAAAAAACAAGTATGTACATATTTTATGTACTGTATGTATTAACAGAGAGCACCCTACTATATGTGAGGCCCTGGTACAAAGTCTTTAACATGCAGTCCCAGAAAGAACCCTATAAAAAAAATAGCAGCTTCACTTGTGGAAGATCCTGGCAGACACCACCTTAACCAAGGGACCAACATTAATATCACCAGCAATGAGTCATGGTGATATCATGAAGCCCTTAGTATGACCCACTTAGAAGGGTACATCATCACCTCTCTGGTATTCTTACTAGTAATGTAAACACCTCAGTTTATTCAACACACACCAATCTGAAAGACATCTACAAAATAACTGACCAGCACTCTTCAAAAGTGTCAAGGTCCTGAAAGACCCAGGGACTATTATAGACTAGAGGAATATAAGGAGATGTGATAATTAAATGCAATGAGGGTGAGGCACAGTGGTTTGACTGTAGTGTCAGCTATTTAGGAGGCTGAGGCAGGAGGATTGCTTGAGCCCAGGAGTTTGAGTCTAGCCTGAGCAACATAGTAAGACCCCATCTCCAAGAAAAAAATAACAAATAATAAATAAATTATAATAAAGAATCTTGGATTGGATTCTGGAACAGAAAAAGGACATAAGTGGAAAAAGTGAAGAAATCTGCATCAAGACTGTAGCTTATTAGTAGTATTGTAGCAAAGTTAATGTCTTAATTTTGATAAATGTATCATGGTTATGTAAGATGTTAACATTAGGGCAGCTGGGTGAAGTGTATATGGGAACTCTCTCTACTATTTTGCAACTTTTCTGTAAGTCTAAAATTATCTCAGGCTCGGTGTGGTGGCTCACGCCTGTAATCCCATCATTTTGGAAGGCTGAGGTGGGAAGATCACTTAAGCCCATAACTATGAGATCAGCCTGGGCAACATAGGGAGACCCCATCTCAACAACAACAACAACACAACAACAAAATTAGCTAGACACGGAGGCATCTGCCTGTAGTTCCAGCTACTCAGAAGCCTGAGGCAGGAGAATCCCTTGAGCCTGGGATGTCCGGGGTACAATGAGCTGTGATTGTGCCACTGCACTCCAGCCTGGGTGACAGAGTGAGACCCTGTGCCAATAAATAAATAAAATCATCTCGAAAAGTTAAAAACAAACAAACCTATGAAGCAGGCACTATTTTTTAATTTCATTTACTTATTTTTCAGAAGCAGGCACTATTGATACAACCATTTTCCAGAGGAGGAAATTGAGGCACAGTGACGTAAGACACCTGTCCAAGGTCACACAGCTAGGACACACAGACATGTCTCAAACCCACAGAGTGTAGATCTGGAGTCCCCACTCTTTTTTTCTTCTTTTTTTTTGAGACAGAGTTTCACTCTTGTTGCCCAGGCTGGAGTGCAATGGCACGATCTTGGCTCACCGCAACCTCCGCCTCCTGGGTTTAAGTGATTCTCCTGCCTCACCTTCCCAAGTAACTGGGATTACAGGCATGTCCCACCATGCCTGGCTAATTTTGTATTTTCAGTAGAGACGGGGTTTCTCCATGTAGGTCAGGTTGGTCTCAAACTCCTGACCTCAGTTGATCTGCCCACCTCGGCCTCCCAAAGTGGTTGGATTACAGGCCTGAGCCACCGAACCCAGCCCTTTTTTTTTTTTTTTTTCAGATGGAGTTTCACTCCTGACCTCAGGTGATTTGCCTGCCTTGGCCTCTGAGGGATTACAGGTGTAATCCCCTGTTGGGATTACAAGCATGAGCCACTGCGCCCGGCCATGCCACTGCATTTTAGTCTGGGTGAAAAAGAAAAGAAAAGAATGCTTGACAACATGCAGTGCGGGGAGGCTGTGGGAAGACTGTTGATGAGTGTGGGCAATTTGTTGATAGTTTTCCAAATAACAAATGCCCTTACCTTCTGAACAAGCATATTCTCTATTTTAGAATATTCCTCAGAAGTACAAGTGTAGGTGTGAAGAATGACATATGTGCAGGAACATTTATTGCAGTGGCCTTGTCATAATAAATCACTGTATAAATCCTATCAACCAAGGACGAGGGAGATAGACAAAGCTGAAGTCAAAACATGTAGCATGTTGTTTCAATTAAATGAAGACACTGTAGTGCTGTGCTTAAGAGTGGGGACTCTGGCCAGGCGCGGT